TAATTAGCCTTGTCTATGCTTTGTCAGACGGTATGCCATTTGAAATTTGGACCACTTGCATAGTAAGTCGATTAAATGTTTGACATTGTTATGCCCTGAAGGGAGGCATCTTAAAATCACAATGTGTGCAACCCCATTTCATTTGTGTCCTGACTGTACTTTTGTCATTCATTGGAGGGTTTTGAAATAAATCGGCAAAAATATCTACCACACCAAGTCGATGTGTCGCGTCAAAGTATCCCGTCCCTACGTCAAAGTCGCACTTACATTTTTTAGTTTCACATTATAATAATTAGAGTAAATAGGTACACACACTCATGTCAAGACATAACGTTGTCATGCAAAATAACTTTAACCTCCTTTATGCAATGTTAATATGATTGATCCCTTTTTCATTGCATCTGGTATGTATGATAATCTCAGCATATATGAAAAAAAATGTTGGTAAATATAGGAGAGAGAATATCACATGCTAAGATGAGACTTCCATAATACACATTATCGTGACCACAGGCTTTCTTCTTGGGGCATGATAGAATCAATTAGCAGAACAGTAGTAGTTGTTGATTCTAAAGTATTGTTTACATGTAGGTACATGTAGGTACCATTCCGCGTCAAAGGCAACATTTACAGACGGTGAATACAGGTATTTTAAGTAAAGTTCAATTAAGTCTTGTTTATCCCTATAAATTGTGTCATTTAATTCTATTCGAGCTCCTGATGAGCATTTTGATGAATTTTTAAGGAATTATCCATTTACCATAATTTCTTGGAACCGCCTCGGCTGTTTTATCAATTTCGTGATCTAATTGTCTAAGATACTGATTCACCTGGTAATTATGCTATCGTTTAAAGTCACGTTTTGGCATTTTTATACTCAATATAAAAGAGGTTTGTTATATCTCGGGACCGACCTTCCCGACACCACAATCTACGTTTTTGCCATACTGAGTGTGCGCATTCCCAAGTTCAAGATTCCTGTGCGGTTTAAGGTATTGTTTGTACTTTCATACCGGGAGACATGCGGATGACTCGGTTTTCGCCTTAATAACAGTCACATCTGACTGATTTTACTCAAAATGATTCAGTCGAAGCAATTCTCTGTTGGCTTTAATAACAGATACATAAGTATCTTTGTCACTCACTTTGACTCATTTCCAATTTATTTTGGATATAGTTACTACAACACTTAAATTGCTGTTCTTAGTAAATTCTAGTAATGTAACGATAGGCATATGGCGGGAAAGAAATCAATAAAAATGTATTGAATTTTTTTACTTGAACACATTGTCTCTGTCATAAATAACATGATCATGCTTGCGTTTTACTTCAGAGAAAAAAACAACACAAATAAGTGTTATGTCTTATTCACATATTCATTTCTTAAAGCTGTCAGTTACGTTACTCATAAATGAAAAAAAAAAAAATGTATGCCTTCGATCAAATCAAATAAGCATATTCATTATCAATTTATAAAAAGGATTGTTTATTTCAACAGTAGAAAAAAACACATTGGCAACTATGAGATGAATTGTTCAGGACAATGAACATAATAAAGTAGGGCTTATTCATTAAGATATCAATACAAAAATCATATTGCTATTGTGACACTTATTAGTCTTCTAGTAATATGTTCAGCTTCGGATTAATCATTACAAAGACTGTGTTATCTTAACCCTCGAAAATCTGTTGATGCATGTTTCAATTATAGCATTGACAAAAATGAATTGACAAATATTCCAAGAGATAGTCAAACATTTCAGGTCATGATATCCAAATGGTATCTTTATCAAAACAAAATGTGTATAAGTAAAATATTATCCAGACTCTGTCCCTTGTATAATTTAGGTTTCCTCTCACCAATTCCAGAAGCAATTTACTTAATACATTGTCAATTCATATATTAAGGTAGTACACCCCTAATCCACTATCTCTACATTGAAGAGTTTTCAAAAAGGCAAGAATCACTGTAAAGTGTATATAAACTGAGAGGCGTGGGTTCAAACCCCTAGAAGGGCAACTTATTTTCTTTCTTTATTTTTCTTTTTTAACATTTTGTATGAATTTCTCAGATCCCTAATGGAAGAAAAAGGGATAATTTTCAATTATATATTTATTGTAGGTATTTGTTTGCTAAATTATGCCAAATTTAATAGCAAATATGATACTTGATATGTTCAAAGTTTAATAAAAAAAACTACACGGTAACAGTATTTTATATTTTGCAAGACAAACAAATATACATTTAAGAAAATTAAGACAAACTTTGAAAACAGCTCCTCATTGTGGAAAACTTTTGGGATATTTAGAATAAGGCTTTTTTAATAGAGAAATTATCAAATAAGTGTTTAAAGTGGGTGGGTAGGGTTACACTTTTTTAAATTTTTAAAACCAAATTTTGTTTGGGAAAACAATCTTTTTGCTCTTTTTATTTTTTAAATCTGATGTATTTTTTGTTTCTTAACTTGAGTTAAAAGGAAAAACATTTTTATAAAAAATAGATTAAAATTTATTAGAGGGGTTTTCTTTTTCTAAAAAATTAAACCCCCTTTTAATGGCAATTTTTATTTCAAAAAAAATTTTTCAAAAAACTCAAAAACCACCCCGGGAAAAATATTTTTTAAACTTGCCTTCAAAATGAAAATTTAAGGCAAAATTACTGCCCTTTTGTCTAAATTTTTTACATTCCTTACATTTCCCTTTTTGGGGGGTGTACTACCTTTTTTAAATTATTCAAAATTTATACTATAAAGTAATTTGTCTTTAACCCCCTTTTTGAGTTTAAAGATATAAACCCAAGATAAAATGTAAGTACTCCCAATGCTTTAAATTAAAAAAGAGCCTGGAAAATGCAGAAAACCAAATAAGGTATGATCTGTATGATTTAATTCATATTTTCGATAATCACATCTTATCATATAAATATAGAAATATATATTCACTGCCTCCATCAATTTTAATATTGTAGAAGATCACCCTCAGACATCATTGACTGTGTGCTCCCCTTGAATTGTATACCACACTTAAAATACAGTTGCATGCACTTCAGACAATGTTATTGCAATTTTATTCTCTAAAATGACTTTTACTTATGTTACTATCTCTGCATTTTTGTTCACTGTTGCAATTTTTGATTTACCATAAAAACCATCTATTTGAGGACTTGCACCCTATGATATTAAGAAGAAAAATAACTAATTAACACACTGTATATGATGCGTGCAAGTTAAACTGTATTGGGACCTGTTGCACACGTTCTGTTAATGAAAGATCATGATATATCCTTGTGGGTGAGGAGTTAGTTGCATTTATGCATCAGAAATGTTACCAATTTCTATCCCTGACAATTTATTGTCAGAAGCAACTAGATATGTTTAAATGAGTCCATGCATCTGAGTCTTCCAGTACCGTCCATGAACAGGCTCAATCAAACCGAGCCTGCAACATTTTCAATTTTGCCGTGATGGTCTTTCTTTAGGGATTCTGTATTTATCTATTTTATGATCACATCCGTGTTATTTGTGCCATGTGGCGGCTTTAAAAAGTCTCCCCGTATATTTAATCAATGATGTTATATTTCCGATCCCTGTAGATCGTTCAGCACGACATTATTGTTATGCTTGTGGTATTTTTAGTTTCAACTTTTTGGCATTTTCTAGTTGGGTGGTTCCAATATTCCTACTTGAATAAAGTTGAATCACCCTTAGGATATGTTGCCTGCTTTTTAAATTTGTCTTTTGACGTCTTATCTGTGATACGCAGGCTTCATAACCTCTGATCCCCTTTCAAAATTCCATTTTATTTGGTCCTGCCCATTGTTTTCTCGTTTAGGGCACACGCTTTTTATCACTTGGGGACCATACGCCGCTTTTCATGGAATGGCACAGAAGTGTCACATTGAAGGTTCCATGATAACCGACGCATGAACACATCTGCGGATGTTTCTAAATTCAAAATTTTACTACTTCATGTTTAAATGTTGAATTCTGCTTAAGCCGGTGCTAGGGGGCGTGGACGGTAACTTGCACTTTCCAGTACCGTCCATGAACAGGCTCAATCAAACCGAGCCTGCAACATTTTCAATTTTGCCGTGTTGGTCTTTCTTTAGGGATTCTGTATTTATCTATTTTAGCTCAAACAGGTAGCAGTTATGACCCTGACATCAAAATTGCTATAATAATTACACTTGTTTGCTTGACAAATTATGTGAAAAAAACGATTCATTTTTTTCGAACAGACAATATGCTGGCCTGTCACATCCTTTTCCATGTGTACTTTCACATGCATACGGTACGAAAGATATAATGAAGTGATAGGCTAGTTGCCTTCAATTTTGCTTTAAATATGAAAATGTATGTTTTAAGCGTGAACAAACACTGAATATAATTATTTGTTTTCCAAATCATCTAACTATAAAATATAAAATTTTGTGTGGTTCTACAAGTCATATACTTTACTTTAAAGATAAATATTTCATTTAAAATGGCCGCCATTATAACGGATCGCCCAAAATATTTTTTGAGAACCTTCGAGCTCGGTCCAACAAAGTTCGACTATAAAATTTCTTAAATTCGTTGAACTGATGTAAAAAAGGAATATTTCACAGAACAACCCATATCAACAACACCAGTAGAGACTAGAATATGTATTTGACTCGCATGTCTTTATTTTATACCAAATTTGTTAATACACACCTTTCTCGAAGGGGACGAAGGATCTCGGTTGTCAAAGCATATTTCACCATCGCTCAGTATTGATCTGGTGCTTTAAATGCTCTTTATTTTCAACTTTATCTTTGCTGTTTTGGGGGGTTTTTTGGGGGCTTTTTATCATTTTACTAATTCCTGATGAAAGCATGGTGTCATTATCAACTATATCTTTAGTATTTACATGACATTAAATTAACCCGAATAACGATAATATATAATGCCTGGTTCGCGTAACATTTTAAAAATATTTTGGAGAATATTTAATCTATGGCCATTAGCCTTTTAAAATGTCTCCATGAATCACAAGTACAAGTATGTTAACAGAAGATATTCTGACAAACTAAAATGAAAAGAAAACATTTTAATTAATAAACAACTGTAAATTCGAAAAATACTTCAGCATTTTCATATGCGCTATTATGCCATTTAAAGCAGCAAATAAAGGTGCGTGGTAATTATTTCGCACATGACGCATTATGCATTAAAACTACTGTCCAATGATGGTGATAATTTGATAATTTTAAATCATATCGATAATTAAAATGCTTATGATGAAACATAAATGTGGATATTATCATTTGACCTTATGTGTGGCTGTCACAGCTTCACCTTGATACTTAGATTATGCTTTATTTTTTTTTTTAAATCTTGCTATGAAGGAAAAGAAGCTACTTATAATTCCACTTATATAGAAAAACAAACTCAAAATAGAAATTTGTTTAATGCATACAAAGTTTCTGACTTTTCAAAATTTAAAATTCATTAATAAATTGTATTAAGTTATTAAATGTTTTTAAACCTATCAAAATGGGGATGAATCGTATACTTTAACCAGGGAATAAAAATAAAAAGCAAAATTTACCATACAGAATGATTAAAGCTGAATTGTGTGTTCATATTTTTAATTTTCTTCTCCAAGATGTACCCAAAACAAAGACATTTCTTAACAAATAAAATATATTATACTTAATAAGCTAAAACTAATTGAATACTAGGGCGAGCCGTAATGGGGACGAATCGTTTTGTTATTGCAGCAAAAAAAAATGAATACAAAATATCAAAACAACATCTAAATTAAACAACAACAACAACAATAATCACAAACACCTTTGTGCTTATCCTTAATAACGTTTACAAAAACACCCTTTAGATCTGCTGATTTTGTTTTTAATTAAAAATACAGCTACTCTCAGAGCACTTGCATATGCACTTTATTTTTTTGCCTTGAAGGTCCAAGAAATAAACAAAGTGGTGAAATGTACAATAGTCTACATTTGAATCGTAACCTTTGTACGTTTTTGCTTAAACAAAACCTACTGCACCTTCTCCCGACGCAATTTAATGCTTTTCATTACGTTAAATGGTCCTTTTAGGAAAATAAAAAAAAAACTTTTATCTGACAGTCGTGATTCAAAATAGCCGCTTGTTTGAGAAAATATTTACAAATCAGATAACCGTAAACGTTACTCTATCACTCATTAGGTTAAATTTTACACTTCTCATCACGTGATAGTAATAAATTTCGTATATGGTGTGTATGAACTCCTGTATGACCTATGAAAATGAGAACTTCCAAATTGTTGAAGGAACAACAGAAATATTAGCATCGAAGCTAAATCGAAGAAAAACATATGTGGACCCGTGTGTAAGTCCTCGGGCGGTAGGCGGTTGGTCGATTGCCTCGTACTGGTCCATTGAATGCTTCTTGAACAAACACACACACACGTATGCACACACGAACGCACGCACGCACCAACGCACACACCGACACACACATACACATACATCCGCAAATGAACCGCCTTATCAATGGTTATCGTTTTAACACTATTAAACTCATTTTATCTCCAAAAAACAGAATGTTCGAAGGGAACACATTTAAAGTAGAAGTAAATACATGGACAACCAATCATCTTCTATGCATTTCAGATGATATATAGTTTCATTATTAAGCTTAATGACTAATATCTAACTAATGTCTTTCACTTCTTTAGGGTGAAGACACGGTTTCGAATCAAAGGCCCATTTCTTCATATCTTGAATAGTTTTTTCAAATTTCTTTTGAAAATTCATTCTGTAGCAGATGTCACAAAATGCTCTTTGGTAAACAGGTTTATATCCAGTGGAATAAAACTGGTTCTTCCTTTGTAACAGTTTCACTATGTCGGCGACTGTAAGACTTCTCAAGTACATAGCAAGGTCTTTGGCGGTCTTGAAGTCATCCGTAGAAATATAGGAACCTTCAGGAAAAAGTCGTTTTGCATCTCCAGGAAGGCCACCACGTGTTATCATGATTGTGTCATAATTAAAATTTTCAAAAAACTTTTCTGTAAAATAGTTGTGACAGAAAGCGTTCTCAAATGCGAGATAGAATAAATATGTTCTGTTCAAAATTCGAAAACAAAATTCATCATGACGGAAACGTTTACCACAATTCCATAACCTGCCACAGCGACCTAATATGGTTAAATTGATATGTTTATTAAGTTCTTTGACATATTGCTGTCGTTTAGCGTTTGTTGTGCAGTGTGACGCTATCATCAGGGGCCGCGTACTATTCTTGTTCCTAGCCACTGTCTCGAAATATCGATGAACATGCACCTTACTTTTTCTTATTTCTCCATATGGAAAGTAAATGTCTGTATTATCTTTATCATAAGTCATTGTCCAATTGAAGGCGTAATTATTTTTATACCACCAGTTTTTTCCGATGTGATACATTTGTGGAGATTCGTGGGCAGCAAATATCCAAACTTGTCCGTTTGGTCTTGTAAAATTTAGTTTCTTCGGAATATACATTCCATCAAAAATTACAGCGTCACTTCCCCTGGCATCATTTTTATCGAACGTTAGTTCACAGTTATTCCATTCACATTTCTCAAAATTACATGGCATAGCATATTTGAGATTTGTACTTACAAAGGTTGAGGGATTGTAATAAAGAACTAAATATTTCTGTCTGCTTAGATACGATGCTAGTGAGGGTGCTGCTAAGGTGTCGTTATTTACCTGAAAACATGTGAATAAATATATTATCTGATATAATGTTTGCTATAGTGTTAAACGTGTTTACATATAATATGCTACTGAAAGATGAAACGTCCAAACATCTTTAGTGGATTATTAGAAGGAATACTGTTTATAATAAATAATAATAATAATAAAACGATAAATATTTATTAGTTTCTGAAATACTTTTGAATTTTTGACAATTTCATCAGTTCAAACACAAAACAAATGTTATACCGCTTTGCTCAATATTTTCTTGATACTTCTCCCAACATATTCGCGAGATATTATAAGGAACATCAGCACTAATACAACCAAGAGTACTATATTCACTGAAATATTTAAAAAAATGAAAAGTACATGCATTAATATCGTGATTGATACAAAATTGTGTATTGGCAGATGGAACTGTATAATTGGTATTTATAAAAAAATAAACAAGTCCTACCTAAACCTTAACAATAAAAATATAGAAATAAATGCTCTTCAGAGAAGAACTTTACATAACTTTCGTTATTATTCCTATCTAGCATATGTCTTCTCAGACAGGTACTTACATGAACATATCTTAATATATGTACATTGTTCTTCTTTTCTTTTTAGATGCCCCACCCCCTCCTCAAACAAAGTCATGTGTTAAAAAAGTGCTGTTGCTTTTATTTCATCACATTGTTTTAAAATGGAAGATAATTACTTTTTTAAGAAAATAAAATAGTCTAGAATTCATCCCTTTTTCGCAGTTTATTGAGTGTCAAAACTAGTATACAAACATTTCAATGGAAATGACCGTATAATCAAAATATTAATATGACGTATGTAGAGTATAATGCTTTCCAACAATCTGAAAACAGACTTGCTATCATGCATGTTTTTGTGTTTAAGTTATATAAACTTAGTTAATTGTATGTCGTTAGATAATAACGTAACTTAAGATCAGTTTCAATGCTTGAATTGCTTTTAATTCCTAATCCTTTATCTTTATTTTTTTCTTGTTCTTAAGTCCTTATTTTTAACATTACGAAATCATTTAAAAGCGGACTTCGTACTTCTCAAGTATATTGACTAAAATTCTATTATCTTTGAATAGCATTATTGTCATATGAGTATCAAAAAAGAAACTTATCTTTAAAAACGTTTCATCCTAGAATGACTAAACACTTCATGGTCAAGAACTGAATAATTTTTACACAAAAATATGTAGTATACTCGTCTATATTTATACAAAGCATATGAAGCATTATGAAACGTTTAATGTAAGATTTGTTTGTGTTCTGATGAATAAAACCTTTTCAAAATTCATAAAATCAGGTAGACAAATATAAATATCTGACTCTCTTTCAAAAAGGTACATCACAAGAGACATAGACATAATTAACTTACCGTTCCTGTTCATATAAAAACACACTCTCATTTTTCTTTGTCCTGCTATTGAGAATGTCGAAATTTCCGTCTAAATTAAACCTTCTTGAATTTAAAGCAACACTGTCAATTGTCGCAGGTTTCCGAAAGAGGCTTCAGTTAACGCAATGGTGAATTTTCACCTATCCTTTTGTAAAATAATACGTCAAATAATATGTCAATAGAATGAGGTACGTGTGTCGAGAATTTTAACAATTAAGAAATGTATCTTCTTTTACTGAATGTAATACATTCATCAATAATTTTCTCATTTTATGTTTACAGATCTTATGTAAATCGTGATAATATTTGACAAACCATGAACACATACACGAGACTGAACTTATATCATTTGATCCAATAATGATTTATATCGAACATCACGCTGAAAATGCACTGGGTATATCTTATTTGATGTGAAACTAATGTGAAAGATTTATTTCTACCCCTGCATTACGTAACTTAATTCACTAAACATATGCAATGTAAAGTTTCTGAACTTGTTGTAAACATATTATGTAAACTAAATGAAATAAGCTTCATCTAACATAATATTATAATCAGATAGGATGGTTTTTATTTATTGATCAATTGTAATCAATTGGCGTTTGTGTATATATGGCCAATTAAGAAAAAAAAACAAGTCCGACGTTTATCGAGGCGGTACTCTAGGACACCTTATCCGGTTTAGCCGCCATAATTACCGGTACAAATTTATAAAACTAGTTAAAACAAAACACATAAGGGGTTCACAAATATACCCAAATGATACAATATGGTAGTTATATTTATTCGTTTATTTATTTATTTTGCATGTTGTAAATTGCCTACCTCTATAAATGCACGAAATGAATTCATTTTTTGCAATTCAACTGGATTTAACCAATAAATAATTAAAAAATATGAAACAGATTTTATAAATATTTTTGTTTCTTTACATCAGATAAAATCGCTTAATGAATTATTACATTATAATTAATTGGGCAAATTTTGAACATAAATTATATTTTGCAATAAAATTAAATAAATCAATAGATTGTAATATACTCGTCTATATTTGTCATATTTATGCCATCGTGTTTATATAGTCTTCTTCAAGTTCTCCTTCAATAACATCTGATCATTCAGTTTGCTGTTTTATCTGATCGCGAAAGTAATTCCTATTTTGCTGTGCATACTGTTCATATTATAATCAAACTGATTTTTTTGATTAAGATATATCAGAACATTATTGTTTGAATTTATTACCCTGTCGATTTCATACTGATAAGGTCAGTACACACGATATATCAATCTTAATTCGGGGTACTGTTCGTGTTGGTGTTCGAAGTAAAACACGTTTAGATTTAATTTTGTTAATACAATGAGCGGTAAAGTGCAACAGAACTTTTATATCAATATAGCATGTGCTCTTATTACCTCCCTTGATTTAAAGCTATAAAAATCAGCAATTCAGAAATGCAGTGGTAGTTTTGGATTTTCTGCAACTTATTATAATGGAATTTCTTCCTTTGAACATATAGATTGTTTAACTGTATAATAGCACAGGTGCGTCAACTTTACTTTAGTCATTCAATCCATATAAGAGGATGAATGCCCACAATTTGTAAATTAACAAATGCCGGTACGGTATAATTCACAATATATGTATAGTATATATGTATATACCTTTTCATGCAGACAAAGCCGGATCTGAATATCCCTCATATTTGGGTCTGACCCAGTTTGTAATTGGGCCTGTGGCCTGTGACCTGTGACTTGTGACCTGTTACCTATGACCTGTGCCCAATAAGTATTTTATATATATAAATTTTACATACGTGAACATATTTAATTTGGGTCTGCCCTACATTAGACCTTTGTCACATGTATATCAGTAATTGTAATAGGACTTTTAGTATCAACAGCCATTACACATAAAAATAGTTTACTGTTGAATTTTATTTATTTTGGAACCCTTGCAAATATAACATGGATCAGTGCACTTCAGAGAAGGTTAGTCAATGTGCATGGATAGTGTTGTAAATGTATTTATTGCAGTTGTCCGGTTAAGTGAGGTGTAACATAGTTAGCAAGAATATTTCGTGCTCGCCGGTCGTGATATGGATACATTATTGAAAGGCGGGTAGAATCGCCACTCTAGGACTTTGCATTGTAGTGAACACATCGTATCCTACCCACCCACCCAGAAGCAATGCTTTTATTAAGCCATGTTTTCGCATCCATTGATTGGTTGTTAGCGAAAAGGTGTTTGTTTTGTTTGAATTAACTTGGAAATAATCGATATAATAGTTTATTCCGCAGGTTGTGAGCTTTCAAGATTGCATGTCCGGAGACCATGTCAAGAAGAAAAATTAAACTCACAGAAATACCAGATATTATTTTTATTGATTTGTATACAACGATCTTGAAACAATACGAAGGCCTTTATCCTTCTTTAGTGTTGTTGTTTACTCTGTCGAAGGTTTCATTACCTTTATTTGGTGATAAATAATTTATCTTCGGTTAAGCAAAGCGAATTAAAAAAATAATACCTGGCCATACTTCTTACAGCGATATATTGTAATGTAGTGGTAGCGCGCTGGTCTATCAACTATACAGTTGTGGGTTCAAATCCAAGCATTTGTTTTGTTAAACATCTTTTTTTCAATGTACAGGTATTCAACTGAGCTTTTGTGCTACACGTGACATAATGGCTTGCAACGAAAATCATATTTTTATTGTGAGCACACGAGTCCTGGGCTGTTTTGTTGAGGTGTATGTTGTGGCGCTGTAAAAAAAAGACGTCAACCTGCATTCATTATCCGTGGTAATCACCAATTGAGGTACTCTCTTGGCATCGGAGACGAACATGCCATTGCCAGCGCAACTTGAGTGTCACAGAGGTTAAAAGTAAACCCATGTGTATATTTAACTGAATGTAACATACGGCAACATTTGAAAGTATTTGGTCTGTGACACAAACAGAAAATTGTATATATATGTGAAGCTCAAGAGTTGATAATGGGCCCACAACGCATATCAAACCCACATATATATATAATAATATATATATATATATATATAATATATATAGAAATGAGAGAATATATACACACATTCCACCACATCGATATACCAGTCCAATAACGGCACAGCGCCTAGCAGAACAGAACAGCTTTATATACAGTCACAAACTGCACTACACACTGAAACAGGCTCAATATTCGCATTTATAGAGTTTGTTCTCTGTTATCTCTGTTATCATATCTCACAAATCAACGATGTCAGTTTGATTGTCTTGTTCACTGATTGGGACCAGATAAATATATATTTATTTCCGAAAGTCAACTTGATCACGTAAGATCAAGTAGTTCCGTAGGATACAATGCATTTAGACAGATAAAGTTTATATAAAGGGAGATAATTTAATTCAATACAGTTATACTTAACCCTGCGTAGGATCAGATAAAGATATAAGTGTGCAGATAACTTGTTATAGAGATGAGAGAATATATAAACACATACCACCACATCGATATGCCAGTCCAATTACGGCACAGCGCCTAGCAGAACAGTCATGAAAGCATAGCCACTGCTCATCCACCATCACAAAATGATGGTTTCAGAACAGCTTTATATACAGTCACAAACTGCACTACACATTGAAACAGGCTCAACATTCGCATATATAGAGTTTGTTCTCTGTTATCATATCTCATAAATCATATCTCATAAATCAACGATGACATTTTTATTGTCTTCTTCACTGATTGGGACCAGAGAACTATATAGCTATTTCCAAAAGTCAACCGGATCCCGTAAGATCAAGTAGATCCGTAGGATACAATGACTTTAGACAGATAAAGTATATATAAAGAGAGATAATTAAATTCAATTCAGCTATACAAACTTCATCTACTTTCAATCAACATTCAATCATGTGTAAGTACATTTGTATTTGCATGTTGGCATGTACTTCAAAACAAACATACCATTATGCAGAACCAACTTCCCAAATGTCCAGTGTAATATTTCTTAAAGTATTAAGTGTCTAGAAATATTAACAATATGGATTTTTTAGAAATTGTTACATTTAACATAATGCTAGTGGAACTGAAGAACCTACTTGAACCTCTTACATCTGTCGTTGCTTTACAATCTAGACAGACCAGGCAGACAATTGGATCTTTTTTATATTGAATTGTGCATTATATAAAAATAATACATGAAATAGCTGCATAAATTTTATATTCTCATACATATGTACATCTGATACACGATTTCTGCTTTTTATTCTAAATAAAATGTATATTTGATCTACATTTCATCTACTGAGCAAACATAAAATTGCTTATAGAAACAGTTGACTAGAATTCCACAGCCTACCTAATTCAAGTCCAATGAATATCAATATTCCATCGTTTTTTTTCTGTTTCACGGTATATTTTCACTTGTCGTAGCCATTTTGGATTCTGATACCTGCATTGTGATACGCTATCTGATTGGGCGAGCCAAATTGGACGTCTAATCTGATCGCGTATACAAAGCAGGTATCATAATCCAAAATTACAAAATCAAGTCAAAAAATACCGTGAAACAGAAAAAATCGATAAAATATTGATATTCTTTGGATTTGAATTACATAAGCTTTTGAAATCTAGTTTTTTTATGTTAATGAATGATGCAACGAAAAGCCACGAGAATGCGTCTCAGTCGCCGAAACGACGATTTCCCGTTTTCCAAATCGTTTGGCAAATAAGCATATAGTAGGCTTTCCATCTTTCTATAACTATAACTTTGCTAGTGGAACATTTTTTTTTTATAATTATATCGGTTTTGTATTTAATATCAAGTAGTAAGCCTTAGTAGTGATTTTTTTCAGGGTGGTAGCAGGGGTCCAGGGGCAGGTTGGGGTGGGGTGTCCAAACACTGATACTGCCATATGTGATAAGCACTTATCTTCTTTTACAAAACAACACTACCTTTGCCAGATCTGATTTGTTAAGGTATGACCCCTATTATGAACACTATTTAGAACTGTATAATTTTGTAAAATATTCGACATAAGTAACTTAATCATAATATATGCTTTAAAAGAACACATGTATGCAAAAAAAGGAGGAACCTCTTAAACTCTCCAATATCAACATTATAAAAAATGTTTCCTTATTAATCTTGTATTAAGAAACAAGTTATAGCATTCGCCTATCGTATCACACATGCAAAATTATTGGTCCGGCCCAAAATGTTAAAGATATTTACAAAAAATATGTTACCCCAGCCCACCTTTTTAAAGCACTTGTTTGACCGTTTTCCTACTTATTCAAAGTATCCCTTAAAATTATCAAAGTAAGGGGCTGTTTTCAAACTTTGCTTTAATTGTCTTAATTTTTTGAAAAATATATTGTCAAATATAAAATATTTTTTAACGTGTAAAAGTTTTGATTTTTTAGACTATGAAAATATCAGGTAGCATATT